ATCTCACACCCTCTTCCCACAGGGACCTTCCTGTGGCCTCGGGGCCACTCATCCCTACTTAGGAAAACTTGGGGCGTCAGGACAGAATCAGGATTCCTTTAGAGCAGCAGTTCTCAACCTTCCTAATGCCGCGACCCTTTAATACAGTTCCTCATGTTGTGATGACCCCCAATTTCATTGTTACAAATTGAACGTAATGAAAGCATAGTGATTAATCACAAAAACAATATGTAATTATATACGTGTTTTCCGATGGTCTTAGGCGACCCCTGTAAAAGGGTTGTTCGACCCCCAAAGGGGTCACGACCCACAGGTTGAGAACCACTGCTTTAGAGGAAGGGGTGGGAGGATTGTTGCAGACCAAGGGAAGAAAAACTCCAGTTCCTGCTGAGCCCCCGAGCTGAAGTACAATTCACATCCAAGCAGCCCTGCAACCACAGGACACCCGCTGGCCCAGGCTGCCAGCTGCTTCCCTGGGGGGTGTCCCAGCCGCCCACAGCGAAGGGACTGGGACTGTGCCTGAAGCACCATGTCATCAGGATGGCCTGAGGCTGTCGCATAATTGAAATACATCTTGAAAGAACAGGGTCACAGACCCCTAACATCTGGCTGAGACACACAGCTGAATCCGCATGAAATTTTCATGACAAATGTTTCTTCTAAAGTTCTTCAGGCTTCTTTGAAATATGAGCCTATTATATATATTTTTTAAAAACCTCTAGGCTAGACACGTGCCAAGTAACTCTTGTAGCTGTTTCAATGAAAGTGACCCAGCAGAGGGGAAACCCTAGTGTGTGCTGGTGGGAATGAGGCTGGCGCAGCCACTGTGGAAAACACTGTGGCTTCCTCACAAAGTTAAAAATGGAACTGCCATTGACTCAGAGATCCCACTTCTGGAAATATATCCTAAGAAACCCGAAGCACCAGTCAGAAAGAATGTACACACCCCTATACTCATAGCAGCACAATTTACAGTAGCTAAGATGTGGAAACAGCCCAAGTGCCCATCAGTAGACGAGTGGATAAAAAAGCTGTGGTACATTTACACCAGGGAATACTATGCAACAGTAAAAAGAAGGATCTCTTACCCTGTGAGACAGCATGGAGGGACCTGGAGAGTATCATGCTAAGTGAAATAAGTCAGTCAGAGAAAGACAAGTATCACATGATCTCACTCATATGTGGAATCTATTGAACAAAAGAAACTAATGAACAAAAAAGAACTTATATACATATATGCATAACCAAAGGACATAGACAACAGTGTGGTGAAGGCATAGGATGGGGCAGGGGGAAGAAGGAGGGGGACTAAAGGGAGGCGGGAGGGAATTGGGGAACATCTGTAATACTGTCAAAAATAAAAAATTTTTTAAAAGTGACCCACCAGGAACAGACTGTCCTCATTGTCACCCTAGTCGTCACACATGGTCACTACTGGACACTGGGGAGCCCAACACTGTGTTCATAACCAGAGTGACCACTACTCACCTAATAACATTCCTATGAAATCCTCTTCAAAATTACAAGTCCAATAAGAACATCATGAATGTCCACTACAGGTTTTACACTTGGCATTGCTGCATGCCACACAATAGGCTGAGGGCTTCCTTTAAGTACCAAGACGACCCAGGACACCACCCCCAGAGTGCTGCTCATAAAACTCCACCGTGTAACTAGTGGGAACACACAGCTCACTCACACCTGTGCTGGTAATGTCACACCTGCAGGTGAACAAGGTACACATCTTCCTTTGACATGTTAAGGGTTAGGGTATTCTTACCCTAGCTTTAAAAATCAGTCCTTAACAAATTATTCACTAAGAGAGAACCTGATAAGCTGCCTCCAAAAGAAAATAAAAATCCAAAGACAGGCCAATTACTAAGACATCACTCACAGGTCAGGGGGGCAAGGGCAAAATAACTACCCAAATGGTAGGACAGACAGTAGACGCCATGCCTCCCGCGAAAGCTCTAGCGGGTTAGTATTCCCAGAGCAGCAGCAATGTCTAACCAAGGCAGAAGCAAACTCACAAAACTGACAATACAAAACTTACGACTCCTGAGCCCTTCATTCCAAACAACACATTTCCATGGGCCCAGTTTGAAATGAAAATAAAAAATACAACTGACTTAGAAATCAACAAAATGAAGATTGTTTTGTAAGTCAAACTCAAAAGCAATTTTTAAAACTCCCATTTGTGAGCAAAAGGTTGCAGATAACCTGCAGAAGCGCAACTAACAAAGAGAAGGAAGAAAAAGGGTTAAAATTAGATACTGGTTAATAAAGAGGCTTGAAAAATGCAAAGATACTGCTTGGAACGGGACCACAGAAAACACAAGACGAGCACCTGAAACCCTCCACAGAGGACAAGCGTAAAGCCGCCAGAAATCCAACCAGACAGAACCTCTCGGGTCCCCAGCAGGACGCCATGTCAGGTTGAAACAGAACTTACTAAGCTGATGACAGAGAAAACCTGCACAAACCAGTCCTAACAGGCCATTTTTAAAGACATCAGTAAGGAGACCAGGTGCCGAGGCCAGGAGACTTGGGACAGGATAGCTCGAGGCTTCCGAGGCATGAGTACGGCCCGGCCCGGCCCGGCCCTCCTGACACAAGGAGGTCCTGAGTGAACTCCAGCGAGAAGCCAGCAGGGCATGGGAGGTTCCTTTTCCAAAAAGGAAGCCAAGAGCATGCCCCCAATGGCAACCACTGCCATCAGCCTCCTGGGGAGCAAGGGAGAAGGTGCCTAGCACCGGTACTACTGACTAGGTAAAAACACGGGGATGTGGGGACAGTGTGCCCTTCCCAGCTATAAAAACCTCTCCCCCTGGTGACATCAACGCGTAGACTGTTTCCAGCCAGAGCTGCATTCAACACTGCCCCAAGGACCCAGCATGTTCCCAAACGGGAAACCAACCATCACAGAGCAGACAGGACTTCTTCACGTCTCCCTAAGTCCCTCAGGACTGTGCAGCCGCTCCATCAAATGGCTCATCCCTGCCCTGCCCCCCCGCCCCCCACCCCGGAAACATAAAACCCTGGGGTTCAAGCGTTTCCTCGGTTTTCTCACGTGACAGAGAAACTGTCTATCCTACCAGCATCAGTGAAAAGCAGGCCTTCTGTGATGCATTTTAGTGATACCAGGCATTGCAACCCTTTCCCGAGTGGGACGAGCACACTCCCGCGTCCAAAGGTGCTCAGGCTGAGAGCACGCACACAAGCATCTTCACTGTTCCTTGAGCTCAGCTGCCTTTGAATGCTCACATTAAACTTGTGATGCTTTACTTCTAGTTTCTATGATATTCTAAAATACTTTCCCTGGTCTTCCGTAACAATCCTCACATTCTTACCGAGTGAATGGAACCAGAGCAACTTCCATGGGCTTTCCCATGAAGCCTAAGGGGAAAACCCTTACCAACTCCTATTTTAATAGCTTTCTTCCTGCGTATTTCCAAAACAAAGCTGAGTGGGGTGGTTTCCATCCAATCCAAGACTTACTTAACATCCCTCTGGCTGGGACCCTCATGCAGGAAATGGGACTCTGTGATCCATCTCCAGCAGAGTCACCTTTTAACCAAAACGGCTGCTGAATTTCCTCAGGACAAACAGAATGTAGGGAGGGAAGAGGACATAAGAACAAAGAACTGTGGCCGTGAGCCAGCTTCATGGTGGAAAACCCCCACCCCCAGGCACCCACCTCAACTAGACTGGGGGAGGTGGAGGCACCTAGAAAGGCCTCAGCCCTTTTTTATTTAAATGGCCCAATGGGAGACAGCAAGAACTAGGCGACGTATGACAATCTGTTAAGCAAAGCCTCAGCCAATGAGGACCGAGGAGGGACACTTGCACCCTGGGGAGAAATGGGCTGTGATCGCTGCCCCAGGTGAGCCTGCACAACCAGGCGGACACACGCCACCGAGAACCTATTCCAGGCCTTGTCGTCGCCATACCTCTGTCTCGAGTCCATTACTTAAATGCAGACAGGTGAGCATTTCTCACACTAGGTTGGTGATCGGGACAGATTTTACAGACTGAAAAACAAAAGCAGCACCTTTTGGCCACATCTGCATCACTCCATGTCGTTACCGTGCAGTCTTGATGGAGCTGGCGTCAGACATAACCTCGTAGGCGTGTCACCGTATTAAAATGTTCAGTAAGTTGCTAGTCATTATTTAACATACACAGGAAATCTGCACACACTGTCCAAATAGCCTGAAGAAAACGAGCACAGGTTTGGTGAAGGTGGCACCCACCTCAGTGCACAGGACGGACAGTCAGGAAGCGACAGAGGCCCAGGCACAGAATCACACAGACACAGGAGGCTGCAGCCCCACTGGGAAAGAATGCACCAAACACATCGCATTTATTTTCTTTTTTTTTAAAGCAAATAACAAAGACCCATTTTACCAGCTTTACTTTTTAAACCTAAGCTTAACATTACACATTTAAACAATTGTCAAAACTTACTAAGTTGCCAGCATTCATGCACAACTAGAAAACATCCTCAATTTATACTAAACCAGAAATGTATTACCATTGATGCATTAGTACCTTTCACTACTCAACACTGAAAGACTGAAACTACTCTGGGAGGCGCGTCCTGGCAATGTTAGCTTCACAGCAGGCCGCCACTGCTTGGCTCATGTTTAAACACAATGGAAAGCAGGTCCGTGCTGGTGTTAGTGTATGAAGTCACGGCCACCCTGGATCACGTTTAATAAAAAGCAAAGTGCATACAGAGATTTACAACAATTGTAAAGACCAAAAAGAAAAGGTCCTATCATGTGGTCCCAACAATAAATCAACAGTCTGACAAACAGGCTCCGATGAGCGTGTATAAATACTTTAGATTAGGGACAGTTATACTGAAAGTCGAGTTCGTCTGAAATCTTCAAAAAAATGTTCCTGTTAATCCTCACATGGTGCTTGTTACAGTTAACATCTCTGTTACATGCGTGCGTTGAATTACTTGTTATCCAAGCGTAGCAGCTGCTCCTTACCATTTATCGTCAAGGACTTTAACTGGCCGTCTTCTTCAACTTCTACTCTTTCTTGACCGTTCTCGACAATTCTGGAGGATAAAATGCATTTTTAAACTTTATTTCTTGCAGTAAATGTATGTGTTTGTATAGATGCATTTGGAAACCAGGACGGCCACAGACGAACATGAAACCACAGACCCTGGGGCTGAGAACCAGCTGAAGCCACCCAGGGCCATCTTTCTGAAAACAGACCGATTCTGACAGACAACACTATACTGCTGACCATGACCTACATGTGGACACCAAGAATCAAATGGTCACGGTTTCAGGGAGCATCTGAGATCTTGCTCCCAGGCATATGTTGTCAGATTGGCTATAAAAAAAAAACAAAACTCATAAAAATTAAAATATGATAAAGCTTTTACTACTAATGGTGCTTTCCATTTTGTTATCCTAACAGTGCCAGCAAACCAATTACACTATTATTACAGCACTGCACATTAAAAATGTCTCTAGCTCTAGCCGGTTTGGCTCAGTGGACAGAGCACTGGCCTGTGGACTTAAGAGTCCCGGGTGTGATTCCAGTCAAGGGCATGTACCTCGGTTCCAGGCTCCTACCCAGTCTGGACCCTGGTCGGGGCTCGTGCAGGAGGCAACCAACCGATGTGTTTCTCTCACATCGGTATTTCTCTCTGTCTTTCCCTCTCCAACTCTCTCTAAAAAAACAAAAAAAGGAAAATTATCGAGTGAGGATTTAAAAAAAGGCTCGCCCTAGCCAGTTTGGCTCAGTGGGTAGAGCAGGGCTCCTCAAACTACGGCCCTCGGGCCACATGCAAATACAAATATTGTATTTGTTCCCGTTTTGTTTTTTTACTTCAAAATAAGATATGTGCAGTGTGCATAGGAATTTGTTCATAGTTTTTTTTTAAACTATAGTCCGGCCCTCCAACGGTCTGAGGGACAGTGAACTGGCCCCCTGTTTAAAAAGTTTGAGGACCCCTGGGGTAGAGCGTCAGCCTGCAGACTGAAGGGTCCCAGGTTCGATTCCAGCCAAGGGCACATGTATGGACTGCAGGCTCAATCCCCAGTGGGGGGCATGCAGGAAGCAGCCGATCAATGATTCTCTCGTTGATGTTTCTATTTTCTATCTCTCTCTCCCTCTCCCTTCCTCTCTGAAATCAATAAAGAAATATATTTAAAAATAGATTAAACTGTTAAAAAAAAAAAGGTTCTAAATGAAGAGGGCTGTTAATAGGTAACATTAAACAAAATTTAAAAAGAAATGCCCTAAATTCGGCTATTAAGATTCTCAGGTGCCCAATTTAACTTACACCCTATACTTCACGCTCAGGGGCAGGGGGGTGGCACCCATAAATTATTACACCTACTTATTAAAAACATGAAATATGGGAGAGAACTGTACCTCTTTGTAGTGATTTTTCTTCCATTAACAATTTTGGTAGAAGTCGACACGGACTTGAAGTTGCCCATCCCACTACCACCAAATGACGTCGAAGAGAATGAAGTGAGACCTCCATGACCTATTGACCCAAAGGAAGTAAATCCTGTAAGAAATAAAGGGAAAAAAATATCAGAGACTAGTATGTCTGGCATTCAGTGCAAAAATCCCCAAGTGTCAAATCCCATAGCAGACCTCTCCTGTAAGCAGGGTGCTGGCAGGGGCAATGCTGGGGTCCAGGGGACTCCTCTGAATCAAGGGACAAGACAGCAGGCTCCTTTCACCTCCCCTCCTACCCCCTACTCCTGCTGGGTCGGGCCTCGTTGCATTTCCCCTATTTATGGAGGATCCACTAAGCATTTAGCCTCCTGGAGGGACTAGGATGGCCGCACACTCTGCATCTCACAGGAACAAAGTGACCACTGCTGACAGAATGGCAGACCCAATCCGCTCACCTTCCCCTTGCAATGTGACCACAAGGGACAAAAATCTGAATTATCAGAAAGCTAAAGTAATTTTAGAACAAATTCTAAAATAATTACCTTACAAGTATGGCTCTGTAGTTCATGTACAACATTCTCAATCACATGGACGTTACACCCTGATGGCCACACATCACCCTGAAGCTGGCTTCCTTGTTCATTACAACAAATACCCGCACTCCCTACACAGGACTCAGCCCTCCAGCTCTAATACTGTCTAAACCAGCGGTGTCCAACAAAAACAGAATGTGAGCCAAATACGTCATTTTAATTTTTATAATGGCCCCCACTAAAAAATACAAAGTGGCAAAATTGACTTAAGCACTATTTAATCCAGAATATCCTAAATATTATCTTATGCAATATAAAAAAGTTGAAATTGTTTGGACTTAAATATTCCATCTTTGAAACCAGTGTATGTCCCACTTGTAACGCGTCGGTGTGGACGGGCACATCACGAGGCTCAGCAGCTCCGCATGGCTGTGGCCACCATCCAGGACAGCACAGGTCTAGAGGCTGGAGCCACAGGACACTTTGCAAGGCCCTGACCAGTAAAGACTGCACTTCTCTAATGATTTCTACCAGCTGTTTTCCCTCTCCCTGAAACTTGAGCACTAGCATAAGCACAAGCATGGTATCGGAGGATCTGCTGGAGAAAAGCCCTGGCATAGTGCTCTGTGGAAGAGAGCTCCCCAAAGGAGCCTCTCCTAGCTGCTATCAGCATGACCCTTGCAGGAGGGACCTTCTGACAGTACCATGCAGGCAGCCTGTGTAACAAAGCACTGCAGATTCTTGGCAGAGCATTTAAGACAAAAACAAGACCCAAAGACAGCCCTAGCTGGTTTGGCTCAGTGGACAGAGTGTCGGCCTGCGGACCAGGGGTCCCAGGTTCGATTCCAGTCAAGGGCATGTGCCCGGGGTTGCGGGCTCGATCCCCAGTGGGGGGCGTGCAGGAGGCAGCCAGTGAATGATTCTCTCTCATCATTGATGTTTCTATCTCTCTCTCTCTTCCTAAAATCAATAAAAATAAAATAAAAAAAGACCCAAAGACAGCAGGAACTAGGTGAGCGTCCATGGCAAGAGTCTCCTTCTTGAGGTAAAACAATCTGTTAGGTCACCACCCCACCCCTCGAGCTGCTGACCTGCTTTACCAAGCGCTAACGCCAACACTGTGCATGTGGCTGGGCACCCCCACAGCAAGCACACATCCCTCGTGGCCGCAGCAGGCATGGGTGTTATTACTGCCCCTCCTCGGCCTCCATCAGCGGACTCAGGGCCTCCTTGTACTAAACTACCCAGAAACACCTTACACCCTTAACCAGGAGTATTTACTAGTTAGAGCAGAGATGGATTTTCATGTATAACGTTCTTGGAAACGAGTAAAGATGACTAGGGAATCTACAAGACTGTTCTATCAAAAGGAACACATGTTTCAAACTATTTACCAGTTACCAGAAGTAACATCTTGGGATTTGATACCTGCATCAAAAGACGGAAACCCTCCGCCAAAAGCCGGGAACCCTGTGAAGGCGGAGAAGAACGAGGTGGTTCCCCGGTTCCTGCTCCCACGCGGACCCCGCCGAGTCCCAAAGAAGTCGTCAAATGGGTCTTCTGGAAACAAACACATGCATTTTGTAAAATTTTGTTCCATGTCGTTTCATGGGAAAGCTGTAATAGGGGAGCAGGAAGCCTTGGAGAAGTCATGGCCACAGCTCACCCAAAGCTCCTGTAACGAAAGCAGAGCCAGCCAGAGGCATCGGGGACAGACCCAGCCTGCCCACCACGCAGCCTCTGTGAAGGGTCAGCAAGGGTTCATTCACTCAGGTACTTAGGAACTCAAACTCCCTAAGGCAGCCGTGGGCAAACTACGGCACGGGCCGCATCCAGCCCGCTTGAAATGAATAAAACTAAAAAAAAAAAAAAGACCGTACCCTTTTATGTAATGATGTTTACTTTGAATTTATATTAGTTCACACAAACACTCCATCCATGCTTTTGTTCCGGCCCTCCGGTCCAGTTTAAGAACCCATTGTGGCCCTCGAGTCAAAAAGTTTGCCCACCCCTGCCCTAAGGTCTGAGTTGTCTCCATTATTCAGAAATAAAAACAAACATGGACTATTCAAACATTCATTTTAACACACAGGGAGGAGTAATTCTGGGCCTTGGATGTAAGAGCTCCTTTTAAATTTTCTGTAAACTTGACATCTCAAAAATATTTTTTAAATGGTTAGTCAAGGCAAATCTAAATAAATGTGAATTGCAGACATGACATTTGTGCTCCAATAGGAAACTACTAGATCAGTGATGGCGAACCTATGACACACGTGTCAGAGGTGACACGCAAACTCATTTTTTTGGTTGATTTTTCTTTGTTAAATGGCATTTAAATATATAAAATAAATATCAAAAATAAGTCTTTGTTTTATTATGGTTGCAATATCAAAAAATTTTCTATATGTGACACGGCACCAGAGTTAAGTTAGGGTTTTTCAAAATGCTGACACGCCGAGCTCAAAAGGTTCGCCATCACTGCACTAGGTGAATAGGCATTGTCTTGCTAGTGAAGATATCAAAATGCTCCTGAAAATAAAAGACCAACCACGAGTTTAACTCTGATTATCAATGAGTTACTAAAAACACAAATCATAAAAACCTTATAAAAAAATTTGCTAAAGTTCTATGAAATTAGTCAGCAATATATTTTTTCAGGTAAGTAGGAATTCTGTGAGAAACAGAAAATGGACGGACTTATCAGGAATCCTACAAAACCTTGCAGGGAAAAAGAAAAGCAACCCATTACAGAGACTACAGAATTAGTCTGGCACACCTGGAACACAGCAGCGGTGACCAAAGTGGGGAAGAGTGACAGGAAATAGGGACACACACACCCCCCAACGACTAGCACGAGACCTAGGCTGCACTGTCCTGCATACACCAAGCATCACACTGAAGCACACGGTCTTGTCCTGAAATGGCCCATTGGCGAACCTATGACACGCGTTATGTCTTTAGGTTAACAAAGCAACTAAATCCTCATATGCTGTCTGCCCATGGGACATGATACTCCAGCTAAATCAAGCATGTCAAACTCAAAGGCTAACACAGGCCAAATAAAGAAGCTTAAGTTTATGTGGGCTACAAAAAAACAAAAGCTTCAATTTTCATAGGAATGTAGGTTTATTTCAATAGAGACATGCTGAATACAAAAGGCTGAAATAAATGAGTAATTGTTAACATAAAATAGAACATTTTAATAAAAATTAATATTTTTTTCTTGAACATTAACTTACCAGACACTGAATAACTGCATAAATTAATAAGCGTAACGCAAATAAACCTATTTTTCTTGTTCTCCAAAAGCAAAATCTTTCCTGTTGCACACACAAACAAGTCAGTCCAAAACTAATGACATGGCAATCGGCTGCTAGAGTATTTGCCACTAGTATTAGTGGAGAGAAATGGTGCACCTACACGTAAGGGAAATGAATGCAACACGAGTATAGGAATCAGTCATTAGCGAATGTTGTAGTTCGCTATTAATAATCTATACTAATAATCTAATAAAAGGGTAATATGCTAATTAAACCGATGTCTTCCGGACAAAGCCACGGTGGTGGTGGTGGGGCTGAGGCAGAGGTGGTTAGGGGTGATCAGGCCGGCAGGGAAGAATGGTTAGGGGTGATCAGGCAGGCAGGGGAGAGCGGTTAGGGGCGATCAGGCAGGCAGGGGAGAGCGGTTAGGGGCATCCGGCAGGCAGGCAGAGGCGATTAGGGGCAATCAGGCTGGCAGGGAAGAGCAGTTAGGGGCGATCAGGCCAGCAGAGGAGAGCAGTTAGGGGCTATCAGGCTGGCAGGGGTGAGTGGTTAGGAGGGATCAAGTTGGCAAGGGAGCAGATAGGAGCATCCGGCAGAGGCGATTAGGGGCGATTAGGCAGGCAGGTAGGTGAGCAGTTAGGAGCCAGCGGTCCGGGATTGCGAGAGGGATGTCCCAGATTGGAGAGGGTGCAGGCCCGGCTGAGGGACCCCCCGCCCGTGCACAAATTCTGTACACTGGGCTTCTAGGTATGTATAACAGGATATTGTAAAAATGAAGTTACAAAATTTTTATTAGAATGTTTCTTACATACTGTTATAATGGCAGGGCCACAAAAATATTCATTGTGTGCCTCGAGTTTGACATGCTTGAGCTAAATGAAGACTTCCATCACTATAAAATCACCTTATTGAAAAACTACTTCAAAAGTTGGGTTACAAGTATGTTAGGAAAGTAAAGTAAGTGGCTTTTCAGTGACATTTTCTTGTGCAGGAGTCAGCCGATCCATGTTCCTCTCTCATCACTGATATTTCTATCTCTCTCCCTCTCCAAAATCATTATAAACACACACACAAACACACAGCTCATCTCAAACAGAGATAACTTACTGCACTAAGAGTTCAAAACGTTATAGTGAAAGTTGAAAACCTAATTTTCCAATAAAGGAGATAAAGAAATGGGGTATGTTAAATGCAGATTTTTACGTGGGCATAGCATTTAAGCTTTAGTAAAAGGCAGAAGAGAACATAAATGGACAGATCACAGTTTTAGTAACTAAAAAATGTTAGCCAGTGCCTTTCAACTGGGAGTAAGACAAAGGCCATTCCTTCCCGCCTCCTTTCTACTCATTCCCATGTTCCTAACTCTTACACGGAGTACACATCTTATTTTTAAGGTTAAAAAGGATAAGTATCACACAATATTTCAAAAATAAATTTGAACAAGACACATGAAAATGACCAAATGTGCTGCCATGTCCTCCCCCCCCCCCCCCACTGTGTACAAGATGCCCCGCCCCGCCCACCAGGGCAAGGGTAGCTTGTTGGAGGAGGAAGCAGCTCCCACACCAGCTGCACCCATGGGACCGACACAGAAATGAGGAACTAACTGCCATGAGCTTCCTTCCTGAGTTTGTCAGGAATGTAGTTTGTGCAAACTTATCAGTAAATAAGAAGCAAGCATCTTGGTTTCCCTGCCTGTCCCCTGTATGGTGTAAGGCACAACACAGACCTGATATCATACAGCCACTTCCAGGGAACCAAGGGGAAGAAAGAAGGAAGTCAAGGCCCCACCTCCTACTGGGGCAAGGTCAGTGCCCTCTAGGTGTCTGCGGGACAGATGACCTTGCCAGTGTCTTTACATGGTGGCAAGTACAATTTAAGGAGATGGTGAGCATGGATGCCAAACTGACAGGGTGGACTTGTAATGGTAACTTTACATGTCAAGTTGAGCGTGTTTGGGATGAAATTGATATTTAGATCAGTAGACTCATCAGAGCAGATTGCCCTCCCCAATGTGGGTGGGCTCACCCAATCAATCAGCTGAAGGGCTGATTAGAACCAAAGGCTGACCCTAGACTCTCCTGCCTACAGGCTTCCTAACTGCAACCCCATCTTCCAGCCTGGTGGTCTCTGGACTGAGTTGGAACCTCAGCTCTGCAGGACCCAACCTTGTCTCCAGATTGTGGAAAGCCGCCTATAAATTGGGCACAGTAAGAAATTAATAACTAAGAACAGTTGTAATGATATACTGTAATACAAGTATTGTGTACGGTCTCTCTTAGAATGTCCAATGTATGTAGGACAGTGTGGACATGCTGACCAAAGGGGTGATTCTTGTCCCGGTCCGAGTGGGACGACCGTTTCTCTGAACGGCGTGTGATTTAAAACTTAACAATTGTTTGTTTCTGGAATTTCCCAGACAATGGTAGCTGAAGCAACTTCCCCATCAGATGGTCTGATAAAGATAGTCGGGCCTGCTACTGGAACTTGCCTGCCTAAGGGCTATGGGTGGATCCCAAACTGAATAAAAGGATGGCCTGAGCACAAGTAGAGTCCATCCTCTTGGGTTGGGCTCTCGCCTGGCCCCCCAATTTCCAAATTATTATCTCGTCTCGTCTCTTTCACTTGTGTGCAGCCCCTCTTCCAGATCCTGAACCCTGAACCACACGGGACGTGGGGGAATACACACATCTACACATCTGACGCCCGAAGGAAGAGAAGGGGGAAAACATACACACCAGATTCATGGGAGTCAACTGCTTCCACTAAATGTCTTCAGAGAAGCCTGATACAGAGTCTAGGGGGAGAAAGTATTCTTGACCATTTCACAAGTTTCCTTAGTAATGATATTATTCTGGGGCCCATGATATTAGCAAAGTGTAATAATTCCCCCCCTTTATCTGAGGTGTTGCTCTCTTTGGTTTCAGTTTCCCACAATCAACCACAGCCTGAAGATTTAAAAGGGAAATTCCAGAAACAAACAATTATTAAGTTTTAAATCACATGCCGTTCAGAGAAACATAATGAAATGCCACTCTGTCCCACTCGGGACAAGGATCACCCCTTTGGTCAGCATGTCCACACTGTCCTACATACATTGGACATTCTAAGAGAGACCGTACACAATACTTGTATTACAGTGTATCATTACAACTGTTCTTAGTTATTAATTTCTTACTGTGCCCAATTTATAAATGAAACCTTACATATAGATAGGATGTGCATGTATAAAAACAAAAGCATGGTCCATATAGGGTTTGGTGCTGTCTGTGTTCAGGCATCCATGGGGGTTTGGGAACGCATACCCTGCAAATAAAGGAGGATGGCTGTACTAAACTAATTGACAGCCTAAGTCAAACTTCTGACAAAATCTAGACTGAGCTGAATGGTATGAAAAAACTAGGCACAAAAGACAAATGTTTACATAAACACATACACACAAAAATCCTTAAAAAAAAAAAAAAAAACCTATTATGAGTGAAATATGTTTCAACCCATCCATACATTTTCTCAAGTTTTACCACAATTCAGTATTGGAGAGCACTGAAGAGAAACCCACTCTTATCAGTGCTCTAACCCACACCAAATACGAGCACCACTGTCCTCAGCAGACAAGCCCGCAGGCGTGGCTTCAGGCCATGTGGCCCACACTAGGAACGCCCAGCACACAGAGCACTGGCACAAAGGACAACAAAACAAAATCGAACAGGAGAGCATTCCGTCTATTCTCGAGTCTCAAAGCTGAGCTACACAGCAACCTTCAGAAAAGGCAAACACCTGAAATTCTAGACTTCCACGAGCTCTCCCAGCTAACCCCAGCAACCCCCGCTAATGCCAGTAACACCAGCTACAAGTACAACTCATTTTTCAAGTGTCCTTTCTTACATATTCAGAAGCAGAGAACCTGTCTGGAAGAAATGTAAACAAACAGAAATGGGAGCAAATCCAGAATCAGCCATTCAATTGGAGCCCCAGGTGAGTGGGCCCAGGGCTGCCTAGCGCTTAGCAGCAGGCTCAGTATTGGCCAAACAAGTAAACCCACTTCCCGCTTCCCACAGGCTCCTCTGTTACAAAGCAGAGATTCTGGTTATTCCCTAGGTCTGGCTGCAGCACTGTATTTTCCAAGATTTGCAAAAATCTATCCAAGGAACCAAGATGCAGGCACTGGACCCAGTGAGCTCCATGAACTTGACTCCCACAGAAATGACCTCCTCACAGAAGGAAAACCATGTATCTCATCTTGTGGGTGCCCTTTCTGTCCCCTCCTCCTGCCCTCACGTCTACCTTCACCCTGTACCTGAGCCATAGGACACCTACACCACCTTCCAGAAGGAAGTTGCTCCCTCAACCAGAGGGACCAAAACTCCACTAGAGACATGCGTAAAGCCTACCTACAAGGGACTCAGGAAAATTGTGACCCCAGGTTCACCTGCAAACTACAGAAAAGAATGAGGACCAGCCCTAGACAAGTGCTGGCTCCCCCCAGGGGAAACAAAACAGCAGAAGGCAGAGGGCTGGGCTGGCCAGAGACTCAGACATGCCTGCTACGCTCTGGGTGGCTGCCCCTCCTGGTCCCGCGGTCCAGGAACCAGCCTCTTCTCAGGATGAGAGACCTTTCCCAAAGAAACATCCCTCTCCTTATTTGGGGGAGAAGGGGAGTGTCAGGGGAGCGAATGACTGGGAAACATTAGTGCACACTGGCAACTGAAAGGCAACTGAACATCATCCGCACAGCATCCACCCGCATTTGCCAGCATAATCTTAATTGAAAATTAACTATTTTCAAACACAGCTCCACATCCTCACATGTGCAACCCTCTTTCTGTTGCTAGGCCTACCCCCACCCCACAGGTGAGAGAAACAGGTGAGGGCACTGCTCCCCCTCATTGCTCCTCACTCACGACCATGGACTTCGCAAGAAATTCTTTCATTTTAACACTTCTCCTTGGCCTGTGTCGCACTGCCGTCCTCCACGCGTGTCTCTCAGACGGGGCCACGCAGGTATAGGTCACTCCTGAGCTTCCTTCCCCCCCATGCCCATGTGGCACTGCCTTGGCTCCCGATTTCTCTCAGCAGGTATAACGTGAAGCATTCCCCTCCATCTCCTTTTCAATCTGCTGCTTCTGAGTTGAACACTGTCAGGAAGACAACATTCTAGGCTGAACTCCTGACCCCAGAACCGGTAAGGTCACCTCACTTGGAAAGGTCATCAGGGTGGGCCCTCACCCTTGTCACCAGCAGCCTTATTCAAAGGGGAAATCTGCAGAGACAAACCTGCAGAGAGGAAACATGATGTGCAGGCACCTACATGCCGAGGACGCTGAGGCCACCAGACACTACAGAGGCCTGGTGGGGACTCCCCTTACAGCCCCCCGCAGGCCCTGATCTTGGGTTCCCAGCCCCCGGCACTGTGGTTCTGGCCCTGGGGCCCTGGCACCAGAAAAGACCCACGTACAACAGCCGCTCCCAGACCCCCACTGGCCCCCCACGTCTCAGCTGTCACCACACCAGCGCCGTGGTGTCTGACCAAGGACCCAAGGATGTGCTTCAACCACACAGCAGTAGCAGAAACTCTTTATTCCAGGTACACTTTCCAGGGCCGGCCCTCTGTGAGCTGGCCGTCCCATCCCGGGGTCGCCAGCAGCACCTCAAGCTCAGGACCGCTGTCCTCGCTCAACAGCTCCTCGCAGTCCTCGCTGAGCTGCTCCTCCTCGTCCCTGAGGCTGGCCTCATCCTCCTCGCTGGACAGGAACTCCAGCTCCTCACTCGGGAGCTCGGCCTGGCCCCAACTACAGCCCTCGCTCAGCTCATCTTCACTGACGCCCTCGAGCTCCTCACTGGAGATCACCTCCAGTGTGTCACTGTCCCCCTGGCTCAGGGCGTGCTCCGCTGGCTGGTCCCCGCCAGGCTGCTCCAGCTCCTCCCTGGGCTCCAGCTCCTCACTGTCCACCTCCTCGAACCCTGGAGAGCAAAGTGACGCTCAATGCACCACCCGGGCACCGGGCTCAGCGACACAATTAGCTTCCTCCAAAGGCTAAATTCCCAGGCCTACAGGCCGTATTACCCTCCACTAGCCTTTTCATTCACTAGGGCTCATCACAAAGACAAATGCCAGTATGAAAGGAAAATATGCTGACATGAATAGGCTCTGGAAACAGTTTTGCATTTTCAAGTTTGGCCTTGGCTTTCCGACATGAGAATGCAAGCAAATGAATGTCAGACTACACCCAGACAGGTCTCCCAGACAGTGAGTCCTGCCGTGACTTCTCTGTGAGAGCATCAGTTTACTGAGTGCCCTGTAAAAAGAAATGAAGATGGTCCCCAATCAAGTGCTCCTCCTTGGGCCAATTAACGCTCTGGTAGGGCTGTCTCTGTGACGGTGCCTGGGGAGAGCTACAAGTCGGTGCCTCAGAAGTTGGGCTGCACCGCCTGTGCATGCTGGTTTGAGTCAGCCTCCACCTCCTCTCCCGGGAGGACGCCTGCCCTCCAGGAAGGTTCGATGCCAGCAGGACCAGGCCCAAGCCCTCCCCGTCAGTGACCATCCTTGCAGCTTGGTCCTCAGGCACAGAACTGCTTGTAGCCTGTCCAACACCCTTCACCCTCCATTCTATCTGGGATGTCTAAGTCACACGTGAGGTCTGATAACTGACAAATAACTTCAGCTCGGAATGTCTTGTAATAGATCTTGAACTACTATTTTGGAAGCGAGTACAGGAGAGAAAAAGTCATGTGAAAATTGAAACAAAAAGATAATGTGCTGCTATAAATGGGCATTACGACAGGGCTGAGTCCCCGGGAGGCGGGTGCTGATAACCATCTATGGCCGTGCTGTCCGCCGCACGTACCGCCAGCAGGCCGCAGCGTCACTCCGAACATGCAGCAGCCGTGCAGCAGCTCCTCCTGCGGGTAAATCCTGACCGCCTGAAAGTGGAAGTCCCCTAGGACACCTATAAGAATGGATTGAAGAGGTGTCACTGCCACCCCACACATGGGGACCCGGCAGTCCTGGCATTAGCATGTGAGCACTGCCTACGAGTCCAGAATGGCAATGGGACCAGCCACCTCCTAAACTAGGCTGAGGCTCACAGAAGAAATTGCCACCAAAATGTCCCCTGTGTCCACAATCTATAACCTGTCTCAATGAAACACACAGGCACATAAAGATTTCTTTATATACACAAATCTCACAGTTTGGAAGATGAAAGTCAGGAGATTAAAACAGCTATGGTGGGTAAAACGGCATGATACTTATTCACATCTAATTATTATCTCTATATCTCCTTTCCCCTAGAAAGAACTGCTCAGAGAAAATCACGTCAATGAGGAAGCTTGGACTGGCCTATCAGACGTTTTCCCAAGGAGAACCCAATCTCCTTGTGATCACACTTCATTACCACAGGCCTCCTCCCTTCCACTCTTTTCTTTAAAAAATCATGAGACATAAAAAATAAAATAAAATCACGAGACACAAATCGTGCTGAAGAAGTCCCAGGCTCATAGGGTCCTTCCTTCTCTGCTGTATCCACCTGGTACACCTGGTGTACCCAAGCCCACGTTGGCAAAAGGTCAGGCCCAGCCCTAACACAGGATGTCACCCAACACTGCCTGCTCCCCAAAACACACCTGCTAAGGTCTGTACTGATACACAGAGGATAATTACGTTCACCTACAGCAGGAGTGGGGAACATCGGGCCCGCAGGCCACATAAAACCCGCCTAATCATTTGGTGTGGCCCTGCCAAGGCATTAGGGGTGAGTTGATTAAATATTTGCCATAATAGAGCAGGCTATTTATTTGTTACGAGGATAATTCTGTATGGCCTGAGAATGACGTTATAAATATTAATGGCCCTGGGCAGAAACAAGGTTCCCCACCCTTGGCTTACAGGGAGGCAGTCCAAGCCACATTTGATAGCTAAGGTAGCAGTAACTACAGCAAGTCTTCAAAAGAACCACACAGTGGGCCCCACCTCCGAACATTCCTCTGCTTTGCTTTCACTGCTCCATTTGTCAATCAAAAGGCTCCTAAGTAAACGTTTCTACAGACATCACTTAAGCTACCTTCTTACAAGCAGCCACATCACAGCAAAACAAGGAAGTCTCTGTGAATCCCCATCGGCCCTGCACCTACCAGCCTCAGCAGCGAGTGGCTCCAGGGCAGGCAGGGGCTGTTCGGTCCCATCAAGCAGGCTCCAGGAAGAACGGGGTTCACACAGGATGTGCTTCCCCCTCAATGAGCCAAAAGAAAATGACAGTGGAGGAAGTGTGCCCTGCCTCCCGGTCACCTAGCCAGCGCTCCACCACACTGGCTAACAAGTGTCCCCAGCACCACCTGGGTCTCAGACACTCCTGGACACAGAGGTGACGGGACAAGCCACCCTCTGGCTCTGAAACAGCTGGAACAGCCCGACTCCTCTAGAAACACCATCCTCTGGACCAAGGTCGCTGTGCAGTCCTGACTCACCACCACACACCCTACACACGGCACTGAAAACACGAGCAAGCAGAGATCAAAGGTCTTCCTTCCACACTGGGCGCTGTGACTCGGGTTTCCATCAGAACCACACTCAGGAGTTCAGTTCCCACGAACAGGAGAGCATTTCCAAGCCCGGGCACCTGCGCACAGACCACTGTCTAATTCAGGCGGCAAAAGGAAGTGAATTATGAAAGAATACATAAAAACCTTCTTTACGTTAACGTGCAAGGTAAAAATTCAGAAAAATCCCTGAAAAGAGAAAAGAGACCATTAGAATTCCTAAATGACAAGTTAGATGACAAGATATAACAGTGTTAAACAGAAAAGGCACCACCAGTCCTCCTGTGAGTCATGGTGACACCAAGTAGACAGCAACCCTGACAATAAACTTACCAAAGAAGTCGAATGAAAACGGGTCCCTTCCACCAAAAAATTCCCTGAACACATCATCTGGGTTCCGGAATGTGAAGCCGAACTCGAACGGGTTGTCGAAGTTAATTCCACCTGCACAAGCACAGCACACTCGCTTGTCAGTTCTTGTTCGGGGCATCATTTGTCCACAGAACATTCAAAAACATAGCCCCGCCCTGACTCGGTGACATGTGTTTGGACTTCAGCGTTCCAGAAGGTCCCATCAGCAGTGTGCCTGCCCTTCCTTTTCCACCATCTCTCAATGTGTCATCAGCACATTCTCTCTCACCAGGTTTATTTTTTGTTGGGAACTTCATGTAAACCAAGTGTGTCCACATTTACTCTCAACCTTTCTAGGGTTGGTTTGGAGCCTCAATTTCCAAATGTACACCACAGACGATTACAGAAACTTTTCATCTAAAATACACCTGTCTAGCGCTAGCCAGGTGGCTGTGTCGGCTGGAGCATTCTCTCATACACCAAAAGATGACAAGCTGATTCCCAGTCAGGGCGCATGCCCAGGTTCTGGGTTTGATCCCTGGTTGTAGCATGTAAAAGAGGCAACCAATCGATGTTCTTCTTTCTCTCAGGTGAGAATAAAAAAATAAAAATACACCTGTCTAGCCTTACCACCAAAGCTAGTGATTTTGGTTTTCCAGTAGATCTATTTTTAATCCCTAAGGATATTTTGACATAAAGCAGGTAATGATGTGGGTGTACAAACTCACAATATAATATTTCATGTCTGGTCTAACAAAAGCCTCCCAATAGGCTATGTAAACGCTGTCAATATGTCCTTCCACTCCCACTCAGCCCAGGGGGCGTCATCTGTACTTATTGAAACCTGACCCTTTCCCAGTGAGCTAACAAATTCCAAACCTTTTGTTGCCAGAAAGAAAAATCAACATTTACATACCTCCACCTCCACCTCCACCATTTAATCCTTCTTTGCCATATCTGTCATAGATGTCCCGTTTTTTAGCTGTAAATTTAAAAAGAAAAGTCAATAAAACCAAGTTCCCGTCCCATCCAAGTCCAATAGATAAAGTTTTCCAAGTTCCAAGTCAAAAAACAACACAGGCCGAAACCGGTTTGGCTCAGTGGATAGAGCGTCAGCTTGCGGACTGAAGGGTCCCAGGTTCGATTCCGGTCAGGGGCATGTACCTGGGTTGTGGGCACATCCCCAGTAGGAGATGTGCAGGAGGCAGCTGATCGATGTTTCTCTCTCATCGATGTTTCTAGCTCTCTATCTCTCTCTCTTCCTCTCTGTGGAAAATCAATAAAATATATTTTAAAAAAAAACAACAACAACACAGTTCTGTGTTCACTATTAGTGATAAGGATTTGGGACCAGCTTACTTTAAATGACAAGGGGGGTACAGGGAAAAATCTAAGTACATCTCTCCATACTCAGGAAACTAATAATTATGAAGTTTAAAGCGTGATTATAAACATTAAATATTTCCCTTTACCACCCAGAAAGACCACATGTGATACATTATATCATATCACCAAGTTACAAAATTATTCCTAGAAGTGATGGTAGGAACTGAAAGCAAGAAAAAGAATCTGCCCTGACCTACAACGCAGCCAAGGCTTTCATGACATGCTTCTTTGCTGTACTCATTACCTTCTAGAATGAAAAGAATGACAATGTAGCCCTATTTACACAGCAACCCTGTAGGTTCTTCTAATACACCACCACGTGTTCTCCAAAATGGTGCAGTGAAATGCAGGGCTGTGGGGAAACCAGGCACAGGAGCAAACCACTCCCAGCCAGGTTTGGGAACCAGAGTCCTGGTAAGAACAATAACTGTACCTGTGAAGATGACTCCCAGCAGCCTGGCTGGGGTTCAAGGCTGCATAAGAGACCATGAAAACTGTACACTCCATAAAAAAAAAAAAGGGAGCAACAAGCCCGGCTGATGTGGATCAGTCGCTGAGCCTCGACCCATGCACCAAGAGGTCGCCGGTTCAAGTCCCAGTCAGAGCACATACCTAGGTTGCATGCTCGATCCCTGGTAGGGGCCATGCAGGAGGCAGCCAATCAATGTTACTCATCTGTGTTTTTCTCTCTCCCTTCCTCTGTCTCTAAAAGTCAATTTGCGGGGGGTGGTTGTTAATTTTTTTGTTATTGATTTCAGAGAAGAGGGGAAGAGAGAGACGGCAAGGGGGGGTGGGGGGGGTGGCATCAATGATGAGGGAATTGGGGATCAATGCCGCAACTGGGCATGTGCCCTTGACCGGAATCAAACCCGGGACCCTCCAGTCTGCAGGCCCACACTCTATTCACTGAGCCAAACCAATTAGGGCTAAAAATCAATTGTTTAAAGAAAGAAGCATTAAAAAAAAAAAAAAAAAGAGGCCCAGCTGGTGTGGCTCAATAGTTAAACGACAGGGCACATGCCTGAGTTGTAGGGTCGGTCTGTTTCTGCCTCTCTCTCCCTTTCCCTTCCTCTCTGAGAAATAAAAAGAGGGCAACCAAGTTTTTACGGGGGTTTAAAGATTCTCCTTCTGCGAATTTCGAGTTTGAGCTCAATACTCACTGTCTAATGTTCCTGGCCTAGGAAACCCACAAGTCTGAGAGGTCTGGGTTAGCACACAAATGAGATACAGGTCTCCTGTGTTCATGTTAGTCCAGCTCAAAAGCTGGACCATCAGTTTAAGACCTTAATGCTGCATTATAAGATGACTGACAGGCATCCATGTTCTTGTGCTTTCGTAAGTAACAGAAGTTACTTGTGAAATTAGATGCCTGGGCCTTCCTTTAAATAAAGAAGGGAGGCACTAATGGATACAACAAAGTGCTCCCATGTCAGTAACTGCTGACATGGTTGATGGTAAAATGGGGTTTGTTCCAAAATAAAAAATGACTTTCAATAGTGACCCTGACCTATGCAGACACGTGGAGCAGGCATCCACCCCGTGGTCAGTGAATCAGCCTCTACCCTTTCAAATGCCTCCACCTTGACTCACACTAGGTTATCTAGTATTGCTTCCTGGCAAGGTTGACCAGTGGTTTTCTGGCTTCCTTATAGAGCTCCACTACCCCAGAACCCAGACACATCTCCTCTCCACCAAGAACTGTGGACTGGATTTGGTTAAGCTTTAGCATGACCCATGAAACTAGGCGAATGGACCTGAACTCCATTAGCACTCAATACCTATGCTCTCGACCGACCGGGGTCCAACCTTATGAGGAAAGTCAAACGTCGTCTTCTTGGGCACCCACTGCCCAGTGGTCTCGCCCTGGGGTCACTTACCATCGGAGAGCACCTCGTACGCCTCGGCTACTTGTTTGAATTTCCTCTCCGCTTCTTCTTTATTCTCAGGATTTTTATCTGGGTGCCACTTCAACGCCAGTTTCCGATACCTTCAAAAGAGTAAAAAGGTATTGATCACAACCAAAGTCCAAAAATCCAATAGGCTCTGAAACAGAATGAGACAAGAAAATGGCTTCAGAGCTGCAAACTCCCCTTTTCATTCAGAACCAAATTAATTAGCTCTAAAACCCAGAGAACGTAATACACACTATCTCTATCGGTCGAAAAGTGTTAACTGTGCGAGGACAAAGTGTGCACAGCGTGGGCTCAGATGTGAGGCTGAGAAGAGCACGTGTGAAAGGCGGCCCTGCTCACTGAGCACTAAGAGGCTGCCGCATGACTGTCCTCCTGCCCTCACATTCTCGTTCCTCACAGGGAGGCCGTCTCAGCCACAGCAGTCATGTAGTCCACGTCTTCCTCAAAGCCATCCCATTCTGAAGGCGAGCCTATGGCCAAGGTCACACAGTTCCAAGGGGTCAAGTAACATGAAAATCATGCGCTTTTTAAATTTTAAAATATCTTGCCCTGGCAGGTGTTCCCAATGGTTAGAGCACATCAGCCTGCAGATGGAAAGGTCAAGGGTTTAATTCCAATCAAGGGCATGTACCTGGATTGCAGGTTGATCCCTGGCCTCAGTCAGGGCATGTGCCGAGGCAACCAATCGATGTCTCTCTCTCACATGGATGCTTCTCTGCCCCCCTCCTTTCCTCCCTCCCTCCCTCTCCACTCTCTCTAAAAGTCAATGGAAAAAAATATCCTCAGGTGAGGATTAACAAAACAAACAAACAAATCCTAACGAATACTAGCTAAACTGTCAGTAGCATATACTTAGTATGAGGACATTAAATGGGGAGGGAGCATGCCCTTTAAAATCTAAGACTAGAACAAGAACCTGGTAATCCTCTTAACATGTGGCAAGTTATTAACATGAGGCTTTATTCTCACATCACCGTGGATCTGATCATGGAGAAGCAGACCCATCCCTTTAAAGGGCTTCAACCCTCCATAAGAAATGACAGAGCACACGGAGAACTGGAGAGAAGAGCCGAGTCAGCCGTGTGCGGATGAGAAAATGCACCCACGCAGGTGGGCTCGACTGCATGTCGAGTCAAGGCCTACGGAGTGTCCAGTGTCCTGTGTTTCCACTCGGATTTCAGGCTTCCCCACCTGGGCTTGAGCAGCAGGGCGGGGCCACCACGAGGAGGGCCTGAGAGGACACACAGTACTGTGGGTTTTCTCAGGGGGAGAACAGCCACATACCTGTAAGCCTCACACAGAAGTTTTCCCAGTTGTCTCACATGAACGAGGATGAGTCCACAGAATGGACTGTTCTAAGAACATGTACCACCCATGGCTGCAATTTTCCTCATTAAAAATAAATGAGGCTAGCCCCAGCCAGTTTGGCTCAGTGGACAGAGCGTCAGCCTGCGGACTGAGGGGTCCCAGGTTGATTCCAGTCAAGGGCACATGTCAGGTTGTGGGCTCAATCTCCAGTAGGGGGTGTGCAGGAGGCAGCCCATCAATGATTCTCTTTCTCATCATTGATGTTTCTCTCTCTCTCTCCCTCTCCCTTCCTCTCTGAAATCAATAAAAATATATTAAAATAAATATGGCTAAATCAAGTCTGTCAATATTTATTCATTCAACTGCATAGCACAAAATGGGAACATCTTGTTCCTTTTAAAAGTACTAGCATTTTCTAAATTTGTATCTTTGTCACCCTGGGACCCTGACGTCCCATGCTCATAGGCAACTGAACCTTTTACGTTAACATCTAATGATACCCTGGCTGGGGACTCAGTTGGTTAGAGCTTCGGCCTGATATGCCTAGATTGTGGGTTCCTCAGGACACATACAAGTAGCAACCAATGAAGGCATAAGTGGAACAACAAATAGATGTTTACCCCTCTCTCTCTCAAAAAAAAAAAAAAAAATCAGGAGCATTTTTCTCAATCCCTTAAGATTTTGCTTCCCAATAATCATTGTCAGTTTCGCTCAAATTAGCTCACAAAAATTATCAAAAACAACAACAAAACATCTAATGAGTCAATTAGATCCAGGTCACGGTCAGAGGTGCAGGCTGTGGTCCCCAACAATGGGGATTTTCAGACGACCCCACAGGATGCTTGTGGCACCACACTCCCCGAGTGCCAAGTCAACTCCATTTCAAAGTCCAATGCCAGGCTCTCGGGATTATCTCACATCCTCAGGAAGCTTCTGACCCACTTCCAGCAGAAACAGAATCCACTGCCCCAAGGGAAGGAAGAGAAAAAAAAACCATGCGACCTAATCCCACCCTGACCCCCAATCTGGGCATGCAAACAAAGACTGTTATACTACACTGAATGCCGTTTTTATAGGCAAAACAGAGTTATACTGTCCAACCGCACAGACGATTTCAGAAAGACAATTACTTACGCCTTTTTAATGTCCTCGGCGGAGGCATGTCTCTGCACGCCTAGAACTTCATAGTAATCCACCATGTTTTACAGGCTGTTGGAACGAGTCCTGCTATTAGAAATCCAGGGTGAGTGACATCAGAGCAAAGAAGAGCGATTTCCCAACTTTTTTACCTCATGGCACATAAACAAATTACTAAAATTCTGCAGCACACCAAAACGTATTTTTTGCCAACCTGACAAAAAAAATAGGTGTAACTTTGATTCATTCACACTGGACGGCTATACAGTGTTGGCTGCTGACGTTTTTATTTGACAATCTAAGGAAAAAGAGGTGAGTGCCCCTGACGAAAGAGTCTGGTGTTGCATTTCTAAAAGTTTTTGCAGCACACCAGTTGAAAATCGCCAACCTAAACGAAATAAAACAGGTGATTCGTCAGAGACGTGGTGCCCACAGCAGCTGACAGGCCCCTGGTGAGCATCCTGCTTTCTCACCTCAACATACTCAGAAGCTTGTTGCCTCATTGTGTCCTGTGTCAGGCACTGGGCAGCACATTGGGGCCACCAGGAAGAAGAGTGCCCCGCCCAGAAGATCCACAGCATGGAACCACACACCTTGGCCTCCCCACATCCCGGGAGGGAAAAGGGGGCCATCTTTAAGGGCCATCAGTGTGAACAACTAACGTGAAATTCAGAAAAGAATGTATAACCTCAAATACACTAATGAAAGTTCCAAATATTAAATGGTTAAGAAACTCAGTAACAGAACAGACTATAAATTTGCCACTTAAAATACTAAAATATGGCCCTCGCTGGTCTGGCTCAGTGGAGAGTGTCGGCCTGCGAACTGAAGGGTCCAGGTTTGATTCTGGTCAAGGGCACATGCCCGGGTTGCAGGCTCGATCCCCAGGAGGGGGTGTGCTGGAGGCAGCCAATCAATGGTTCTCTCTCATCACTGATGTTTCTCTCTCTCCCTCTCCCTTCATCTCTGAAATCAATAAAAATGTATTTTTTAAAAACAGAATAGTAAAATATGTATTTCTAAAGTAGAGTCCAAGGTTGTTCACTGTAGTTTTTTCTATTCTTTTAATATGTTCAACATAAGATATTAGGGAAACTGTTTTAAATGCAATCAGTTAAGAGATATGGAGTGAGTCAACAATTATAAAAGTTTTTCTCACTGGTAGTTACATCATTCAAAGCACAGTGGTCAGCAGTGAGAACGTTAAGTTCAACCTGGAAATGACTACCCACACAAGAGGTAGCCAGTTCTTATGACCAGAGGCACAGCAACCTGAAATCTTCAGGAACTAAAAACATGGCCATCAGCCACAATAGTGCAACAGCAGCCAGAAAGCAGCAGAAAACCAGCATCCCTTCAGCTCTGCTCCAAGGACTAAGGATACACTTGGCTACGTTCACTTGGAGCTGTTGTTGCCGCAGGTCTGCGGGCCGTCTTAACAGTGACAGACAGGGAATGATGCCAGCCCACTGTCACAACAGGAGAAAGACCTCTGCACAAACCTCCCACTTCCTAAGCTGGACCATCACCTGAGCCACATGTGGTCAGAGATCATCTGGTGTGACAGAGGCCATGCTTAGGTATTTTTGCTACCATTTCAAAGCCCAGACCCAGGTTCTCTAAGTCCCAATGGTTCCCATATCTACACTAAAAGAGAAGCATGCAAACTGGTGTCACTCTGCTACGCCCACAAGCCAATCAGGATGCGTATGCACATTAACCCAACAAAGACAGCGGTTAATTTGCATATGCAGGCGCAGAGCGAAGCCTGAAGGCTCCGGCCTGAGTGAAGACTGAAGACTGAAGAGGCTTGGCTTCTCCACTGCAGCCGGAGCGAAGGCCTGGGTCCCGGGTGCTGGTGCCGGCAGCCAGGGGAAGGAAGGCCTATTGCACGAATCTCTTTGTGTGACAGGCCTCTAGTATTTGCAATAAGCATGATGTCTGTGCAAATGATTATGGTCTATGGTAGCCAGATCCTCAAGGCAGTTGGTAGAGCCATGGGAAGATGGGCAGAACTCAGAAAGCCTTGCATAACAGGTGGTGAGTACCTGATTGCTCAATCACCAACCAACCCCCTTGGGAGATTCCTGCCCCAGGGGACTCCTGTGAACATGGTCAATTGGACACAGGCAGCCTCCCCAAGGCTGGTGTTATTCTTCTTTCTAAACGAAAACCACTCCATGAAGAAAATTCAAGTGAACTCAGTAAGACCTATTGTCTGGTGAAGAGTCCAAAATCGCACCCTGCTACCCTTTTTGCCAATGCTGACCCTTCTCTACGGCCTTGTCCAACCCTGGCCAGCTCCCACAACACCTGAAGCATCCTCTTATTTAAAGTCAAGAGCCAGCCTCCCCCATTAGCATCCAAGAGACATTTTCGGGGCTTGTTTTGTGTGACTTTCCAAAACCCTGAACACACTGGGATTCTGGTCGAGGCAGTCTCTGGTCTGCCTTTCCTGCCAGCTCGCTTCCCTCAAAAAGGCCTGCTGGGAAAGCTCGGGCACTCCCATTATTCAAATAGCATTTATTTAGCAACTAGAAGCCCGGAGCACAAAAATTTGTGCACTGGCAAGGGGGGGGGGGGGGGGGGTCCTTCAGCCCGGCCTGTGCCCTCTCACAGTCTGGGACCCCTTGGGGAATGACCACCTGCTGGCTTAGGTCTGCTCCTGGCTTAGGTCTGCTCCCGGAGATTGGGCCTAAGCTGGCAATCAGACATCCCTCTGGCAGACCAGCAGCCTTCGGGGGATGTCCACTTGCCAGCGGGGAGCAGACCTAAGCTGCAGTCGGACATCCTTAGCGCTGCTGAGGCAGGAGAGGCTCCCACCACCACCACTGTACTGGCAGCCATCCGCCTGGCTTGTGGCTGAGCAGAGCTCCCCCACGTGGGAGCGCACTGACCACCAGAGGGCAGCTCCTGCATTGAGCGTCTGCCCCCTGGTGGTCAGTGTGTGTCATAGTGACCAGTCATTCCCAGTTGTTCTGCTGTTAGGGTCAGTTTGCATATTACCCTTTTACTATATAGGATAGAGGCCTGGTGCACGGGTGGGGGCCAGCTGGTTTGCCCTGAAGTGTGTCCCGGATCAGGGTGGGGTCCCGCTTGGGTGCCTGGCCAGCCTGGGTGAGGGGCTGATGGCTGTTTTCACGCTGGCCACACCCCCTTCAGGGTGGGGGTCCCCACTGGGCTGCCTAGCCAGTCTGGGTGAGGGGCTGAGGGCCGTTTTCAGGCTGGCCTGCGACTGAAGCTCCCAGCCTCTTTTTTTCTTATTCTGGGATTTGTTTACCTTCTATAATTGAAACTCTGTTGCCTTCACTGGCGCTCCCAGCTCCCAGCTCCCAGCTCTGAGGCCACGGCTGGCTGAAAGCAGGTATCTGGGGTTTGTTTAGCTTCTATAATTGAAACTTTGTTGCTTTCGGAGCTGTTGCTTTCGGAGCTTAGAGCCAGGCCACGGCAGGCGGGGAACCTTGGCTTCCTCCATCACTGGAGCAAGCAAGCCTCCTGCTCACTTCAGCTGCGTGGCTGCCGGCCGCCATCTTTGTTGGCAGTTAATTTGCATATCTCGCTGATTAGCCAATGGGAAGCGTAGCGGAGGTACGGTTAATTACCCTTTTTGTCTTTTATTAAATAGGCTGGTTCCCCAACTGTATGTCCAATCCTGGGTCTCTCTTGGGCACATCACATTAATAGAGACAGCTACTTGACTTAGCCATCTGGACATCTGACAGACATCTCAAATAGAACATGACTAAACCTAACTGTAGACCGCCCCCCAACAGGTCCCACCTGGTCATTCTCCTGCAAATTCTACCTTGAGCTTCCAAGCTGCATGACTAGAAATATCACCAGCACCACCACTGCTACACCTCCATATACAAAGTGAATTAATTCAGCTTTGTCTAGTGTCCAGCAAACTATCTCAAACACCTACCCTTTCCTCCATCTTCAATGGCACCAGCATCACCACCCTGACACACTGCAGGTGCCGGCTGATTTAAGCGCACCCGCCCCTCTCAGTGGAGGCGAGCTGCTCAGATAATAAGCAGACGCATCACCCACAGCACTGGACAAACCAGCTGCCCTGAGAGTGCAGGACTCCGGTGCTCCCTGCTGCAAGACAGTGTGCACCTGAATGTCTCTCCCTTTGACTGGACATGTTACCTGCACATGTTACCTCTGGGGCAGAAGAGATACAAGAAGAGTCTAGGACATGGGTCAGGCAAGGCAAGAAGCTACAAAAATTACAGGCCTGGTCAAGAGACACAAGGAATGACTGAGGAAGTGTACCAGCATGGAAGTGACTAAGAATAGACTACTAAATGCCATCTGGCTCCTAGAGCAGGAAAAGGTCATTCATGAACACTTGATGGGATGTGAATACAGTCTGTAGTCAACAATCCAGTAGCGATGCTAATTTCTCACATAAGCTGATGTAAGGAAAGCTGGGTGAAAAAGCACACAGGAAAACCCTTGTACCATCCTTACAACTCCTCTGTAAATCTAAGATATTTCAAAGTGAAAAATTAAAAATAAGTCAAAACAAACAAGTACAGCCATGTCAAAAGGACATGGGGCCCTGAGGGTGTGTCTCGGTTGAGTGTTGACCTATGAACCAGGAAGTCCCGGTTTGATTCCTGGTCAGGGCACATGCCCAGGTTGTGGGCTCGGTCCCCAGTGTGGGGCATGCAGGAAGGAGGCAGCCGATGTTTCTATCTTTCTCTCCCTCTCCCTTCTCTGAAATCAATAAAAAATATATTTTATAAAAAGAATAAGTGAATGAAAATAACATCTTTCACCCTGGCAGGTGCTGTTTAGTGGTTAGAGCATTGGCCTGAGCATCGAAGCATCTGGGGTTTGATTCCTGGGGTCAGGGTTTGTGCGGGAAGCAACCAGTCTCTCACATCAATGTCTGACCCTCCTTCCATACCTCCCTCCTCCTTCCTTCCTCTCTCTGAAAAGCAATGGAAAAAATACCCTCAGTTGAGGATAACAAAAAACTAAAATCTTTTTTTATTCCTAAATGATCAGCAGGTAATACTTCACGCAAATAATAACAATTATTCGATTATATAGGTTTGTGTGCGTCCATTTGCTTGTGTGTAAGTGAAATGAATGACAATGACAGGCAGGGAGGGAGGAATTAGGAATATCTACTTTTAGAAGATACTTTGAAGGAAGCTAGTGTTCCGTCCATGTACACTCCATTGGTGCAAACTGACAACCACGTAGAAGTTTAAGGAGTCCATTTCATTGTGCTGTTTCACGTCATAGTGCTTCACAGATGTGTATTTTGTAAGCTAAAAGCAAGACCCTCCACCAGCAGAAAGATTACGCTCCCTTTACTGTGGTGGTCACCTTACTGATAACCCTGATATCTCAGGGTCTGCCTGTGTAACAAATGCTAAGGACAAAAAATAAAATCATATAAAATGTTCAGTTAAAGCCCAAAAGGCAGAAAAAAGGTGTAAGACAAAAATAGCAACAAAGAACAAGGGCAACAGGTAATAACAGTATGGGAGCAATTAACCCAACTACGCAATCTTTACTTCCTATGCCAATGGTCTGAAGCCTCCTAACCACAGCTCCTGTGCTAGCCACACCCACCAGGATCGCCTATACTCTGCGTGACATCCACATCACCCCACTCATGCAGCTGACCACATCAGAAACCTAGGCATGGCTAAGATCTGCCCTTCCCCGCAACCTCCATAACCAATTACCTGTTAATCACCAGCTTCCCGTGCCCTGGTTTAGACCCTCACATCTGTCAGCCACACCACTGCCAAACTACTCAACACCACACATTAGGCAAGTCAGTTATTCAAACCCTCCAACAAT